TTTCAATCTTTCACTCGTGCACATGTATCTATTAATCAGCGCGACGTGTCTAATCACATGTGGCACTTGAGTACTTGGGGATCCATCGAACCAAACTGGCGAGACACGAGTTGCAACCTCTCCTTCGTCAGAACGAGTCTTTGCTGCTGTAAATGTACCTGCGTACTATCGCTTATGCGAGAGAATAACCTTGCACGTCTTGCCCCGCGGCTCAATCAGGACCAAGTTATCCATCTCCATGCTCTCGGGCGTTGTCGCCGGCGAAAGCCTGGCGCCTTGGAACTTGCGGAAGAACATGGTGATTCCATAGCGAAGCTCCATTTCTGCCAAGTGCCTACCAATGCACACTCGAGACCCCGCTCCGAACGGCGTGAACGCGGCCTTGGCGGTCTCCGAGTTGGTGCTCTCCCCGTCAGGCATCCATCGAGAGTAGTCAAAGCTGGAATCGTGTTAATGCTTGAAATCATGCCGGCAGGGACCAACTCCTACCTTTCGGGATCGCTGAAGTTCTCCGGGTCTCGATGCAAAGTCCACGATTGGGTTGCAACATCCGTTCCAGCGGGGAGATGGTAGCCGCCAAGCTGGATGCCTCCCGTAGGAACGACACGCGGAAGTGGGGTAGGCGCGGCCCCATAGAGTCGCAAAGTCTCTTCTATCACAGCGTGAAGTACGGGAAGCCTCTCCAATTCCGCATCAGTGAAATCGTCACTAAGCCCAAGAACTTCATTCTCCAAAGCAGTCTGCAGCTCCGGGCGCAACAAGACAGCCCAAATACCGTACGTCAAGGTGTTAGAAGTGGTATCGGTACCGGCGATCATGAAGGCTGCAGCTTCGACGCAGATGTCCATGTCTGTGAGAGAACCTTCGTCCTTCTCTGCTTGGAAGAGGACTTTGGAGAAGAGATTCGAGGCCTGCGACGCCGCTGCTTGCTTGCTGTTCTTGACGGCGATACGGCCCTTGTCAAGCAGCACCTTGTGGGAGCTGAACATTCTCAGACTTCCAATGAAAGGAAGGCGTTTGGTGACCGCATAAAGCCATGGGAAAGACAATGCGGTGAAGGCCGCGGTGTTGGCGAAGTTGACCTCCTCGAACCATGGGTCTTCCTACACAAACTCGTCAGACTGAAGCCCGGTTGAGAGGATCGGCGATGTCCTACCTTTCCGGCCTTCAAAGCGTCAAAAGACTCTCCAAACATGAGCTTCGAGACAACATCGCATGCCATGAGAATCCACCACTTGCGCATATCTACTTCACCGCTGGCAATCTTTGCGTCGATGATCATGCCCTCGAGGGCCATTGTGACCTTCTCACGCACCATGTCTTCCCAGTCTGCACGGAGTGAGGAGGATGTGAAGCCTCTACCCAGGAGCTTGCGTCTCTGAGAGTGGGCATGCTGGTCGGTCATTTGGAACAAGCCGTACGGAGGGCTGCCGGCCTCGGTTGGCCCGAAGTAGTGGTAGTATTCGGCTTTCGTAAACTGGCTTCCGACCTTGTGGATGGTCTTGAAGGCCTTCACGTCTGACACAAAGACCTGGCCTGGTGATGCACGTACAAAGGGGCCATACTGTTGGTGCAGACGGTGGTAATACTGAACTTGCTGCCGCTTGAGGGTCGCGATAGTGCCAGGCAAGCCGGTGAATTTCGCGTACCAAGGACCGGGGATTGCGTTCAAGGGGTTGGTGAACATCTGAGGAAGGTCAGAAGAAAGATATTAAGTTTGTGATTGTCCAAGGCAAACCTGGTAGAGTTTGATCAGTATATAGACTGCCGATGTCGCCGCAAGCAGCGGAACGAAAGTCAAAATCATTTCCGTGGCATATGACAGAGGACTATTGTAGAAAGTTTAGTGACAGAGTTTGGTAGCTTTCGCAATGACCTAATGAGGTCTTGAGATGAACGACTCGATATAAACTACTGTTTCTCAGTCCATATCGTCTCCTGCTGACAATGATGCGCTTGCACGATGTCGACGTCAGCACTTGTCGGCTCTCGGTAGTATGGGCGGACTCTACATGACGCCGGACTTTGAGAACCGTAAGAAGACCGACATTGCACCGATCGAGTAGACCACCCACAACGTCCACATTGGTAATGCCACCAGACGGCCTGGAGGTATTGCGGCATCCGTAAGTTTTCCTTCGTTCAGATTCTTGCCAAGATGTACCGCGCGATTTCGTGCTTATGTTCCTTGACCGACATCGCGAAAAAGTGGAAGGCACACCGCTCGCTGGATGCCGTGACCCGAGCTCGAGAAGTCCCATGCGTCTGTCTTTGGAACAACTATCAGAGAAAACATCGAACGACGGGATTGGAGGTCTTTCGTCATACCCAATGCTCCATAGAAGTCGAGCTGGAGTGAAGCGCGGGTCATTCGACTGCGAAGAGGGTACTGTCATGTGCTGGACCTTTCCGTAGAGCCTCCAACTCGGCGACTACTACATCTACAGGTGACATCGAGCGATCTCGTAAAGACGGTAATGGTTAAAGGGACCTATCGTCAGCTGCATTACCGCTCACCTGCGCCATTGGGCGATTAGTCGCTCGTGCATGTCTTCTATAGAAACTTAGAAAGTGAGCATGTCTCATCGCTACCCGTCAAGCTGCGTGAGGCGAGGTCTCCTCAATCTTGTTGCAAGGAAGTCTGAATTCCTTCCTTAGGGAAACCATCTGTCCATGTAGATGGCTTTAGGTATGTGAAGTCGGATGTCGTCTTAGGCCCGAATCGCCCTTGGTAGTTGGGTAGTGCCGAAGTGCGCCTTGGCTTCTACAACAACTGGCCCAGGTCCAAGGATCCTTTTTATCTGCAACTCCGAACCCTCATCTTGCTGGGGCGTTGTCGCATGTCAGCCATCTCTCCAACTTAAACATCACGACACTTTGGTCTTGATAATGCGTCCCGGCAACAAAGTTTTCAACGACACACAAAGTGGAGGCCGTTAGACGATGTTGCCGATCCGAGCGTGTCCAAATTGGAAACGATCAAGGAGTCAACCGGCGAGACTATCAAGGCAGACCCACAAATAGACAGACAGAAAAACCAAAGAGAAGCACGTTGAACACTCTCATCATCATCTTAAAGGCGGTATCGCCGCTGTATTCGTGAGGGCTTTTTGACGCGTTCCTCCAGAAGCCAAGTTTGACAGACGTATTTTGCTTCAACCTCTTATACGCACAGGCTATATTCCCAGCAAAGCCTCCGTCCTGCAACCCGGACATGGTCGAGTGCCCAATACCAAAATGACGACACGCGTGAAATATCTACCTAGACCTGTGCCAAATGTCTGCTCGCTGCTTGCACTTTGTCAATGAAAGCCAAACGATATGTTTGGAACTCGTTTTCGGCGTCTTGCACAGCCTCATCGACGTCACTTTTCGCCTCTGCCAGTAGCTTGAGGTCAGACTCAATAGCATCGAAACCTCTCTCGCAGTTCCGGCCTTCTTTGATGCTTGACCAGGCCTTGTCCATTTCAGCCCTAAGGTCCATCATCCGCGTCTCGACGAGGATCTTGGTCCCCTCAAGTAGTCCGATACGTCGACCGCAAACCAATCCGAAGTCAAGAAGAGTATCAGCGAAAACAGAGACGGAGGTCTCAACCGCATCGTTGGGGCTATTCTCCAGCATAGGACCACTGCCACTTGGGTCTTGCAAAGGCGATCCTGGCGTAGCATTGAGGCCGAGGCGGTCGAAAATACTTCTGCCAGGAGAAACTTCCCGCGAAGTCCTCGAATCTGCTATGTTGCGTGCAGGGGTGGGAGTGAGATGTACGGAACTCTCGGTGCCTCCAGTCGAGTCGTTGGATTCCACGGAAATGGTGGTTGCCGGGTTGGCGCTTGCGCTTTCCTCTTCGTTGGGCCGATCGCGGTGGGCAGGGCCTGCGACGTCTGCGGCGTCGGTCAGTAGTGGATCATCGACAGTGGTTGCTGCAAGATGAAAGTGGTGATGAGTACCCCGCGATTCGATATCTTGGTCAGAAGCAGGCTGTGCTTGTAGGCCAGCCGCCGACGAGGTGTCGAAGATCCCGGTCGCATGGGCAGGAGGTGCCTCGGTCATGGCCTACTGGCAGTATTAGCCGAAAATACCCAACAAGGAGATTTTTGGCGACGGATTCTCGCATACCTTGCGCGGGTACGAAGCGAAGGTCTCGCGAGGGCTCATCGCGGTCGTCGTTCGAGAGATGTGAGTTGTCAAATGACGGAGCGGATGGGTGGGTAGGTGTTGAAGGAGGAGGTTTTGAGTAAGGTGGTGAAAAGAGACACTTGGGACTGCCTAGCTAGATGAAGTAGGTCGGAAGGTACCTCCTTCCGTTATTATCGGACAAATGGTGGCAGGCGGCTTGGTTGGATTAAATGCAAGGTGCAAGGAAAGTGCAGCCAAAGCCCATCGGCTACTTCCTCGCCAGGACACGCTCACTGAGGCAGTGGTTGTCAAAGAGGCTCTGCACGACATCAAACGATATGCTAGTCGAAAAGAAGTTGATTATGTATCACTAAAAGTAGTACTAGCCTATCACAAAGACACATGTTTGATCGCGGGACTTGCTCGGCGAGCCATCATCGCCCTTCGCGACCATTTATCTGGTAGCAATGTCCCGTTGTCCACCACAATCAATCATGAAGAATATCAGTATCTATAAATGCGGCCTGGCGCAGTCTCTTTCGGCCTCTTGGGCTACGTTGGTGCGCTTCCAGCTGTCCATCGGCCGGCCATTGGTGTGCGGCGAGATTCAAATCCTCCTGGCTGCTGGGCAGACCCTGTGTTCTCGGGAGGGCACTGGCGTTGTCGTCCCATCTGCCTGCCTGCTGCACAGGTCATGTGTGTGACTGAGAAGTAGTGCTCGCACCGTTTTTCGTGGTAGCCAATACTGACTGGTGGCCTCACCATCTGCGGCGCCCTCGTTCCATCACCGCACACCGGCTTCGCGAGCGGAATGCTCCGGACCGGCGGCTTTGTGGTGTCCATGTTAGAGACTCTGCTGTCTCCTTGACGACCGCTCATCGCTTCAAGACATAGGTCCAAGGTAGGTTGCGCCGTAGAGATCGGGTCTGCTGCGCGCCAGGTTGCGATGCAGCGCAGAGAGGAGAGGCCAAAGAGGAGCGAGCCCGACTCTTGGTGGGCTTGGTGTGCTTGGTGCCGAGGGCACAGTTATGAACTGCATGGACGGCAGGATGAATTGAGATTGAGCCTGAGCCTGAAGGACGGGAGTCATTATTGGGACTTGGTATTGCATCTGTTGCTGCCACAATTGCTGCTGCTGAAGTTGTTGAATCTGTTGGAGCTGTTGGATTCGGATGGGAGTAAGTATGACTCCAGGCGCCATCGCCGCGGGCGCGACCTTCAAGGATGCTTCGGCAGGCGCAGGCATTGTGCTGAACGGCTCCGGGCTACTGCCTTGGCCGAGGTAAACATCGTCGTCGTGAGCCCAGTCCTCACCCCATGCCATCTCTGCCTCCGCCGGAGAGCTTGGAAGCTCGCCTGCGCACCATGTCTCCTTGTCGGCAAGCGACGCAACTGATGAGAAAGGAGAGTTGACTTCAGAAGTCGAGCGGAAGGCCGAAGTCGGGCTCCAGATGTCACGGCCGGATCCTGGAGTTGATGACGTGGTTTGCGGAGATGAAGGGAGTTGGGTGAAGTAATCGTCGTCGTCGGCGTCGACGACTGGTGAATACGGAGATGACGGGGCTTCGAACACGGCCTTGAAGAGCGACTCGCCGATGAGTGCGGAAGCTACTCTACCGGCCTCAGAAGATGGTGAGAGAGGCCCATCGAGTTCGGAGTCTAGGTCCAGATCGAGGTCAAGGCCGAGCAAGTCAGGGTCGGAATCGGAGGCGGCACCGGATGTGGAGATGAAAGGGGAGGCGAGCTGGGGGATCGACACAGGAGGGCTGAAGGCCGGCGCTGTGGGGTTCAGTGTGGGCAACATTGCGCCTTGGTTTGTTTGGCTGGCTGCAAAGAGAAGGGAATTTGTGAGAGTAACGACTGGCGTGGAATGAGAAACGTGTTCTAGAGACTAGGAGACAAAAACGAAGGGGATTCTGGGCTAGATAAGTGAGGATTCATGGAGGACAGCCGCAGCGGGGACGGTTGGGAACATTAATGCAACTTTGGACGAGCTGGTGGCCCCTTTATGCCATGTTCGTCCGGCATGGCGACAGGATGAGGGCAAGCAAGGTAGGGCGAGGCGAGTGTTTTCGCACGGGTAAATGTCAAGATAACAACCTCAGGTAGGGCAGTCCTGTTGGTCGGTCGCGCTGGACTCATGCATGATCCCTGGAGGGTGCATAAGGTTATTTTCTCATCATTCGCAGCCACTGGAAATTGGGATGGTCATTGATTGGATCCAGGAGGTGGTGGGCGAAGGCTTTAGCCGCCCGCGTAGCCAATAAATGACGGGCCTGATCACCCTACGGACCAACCTTGAAATCCTCTGCATTCTCGCCGTCTCGATTCGGTGGAATCGGTAGAAAAGTCCCCCTTTTGGGTTTGCGCGAGACGATGGGGATGGATTGACCTTGTAAGAGAAAAATCGCCGAGTTGTGATTCTGCCCAGCCCGCGGACTCATAAACCCTGTCGCGTCGGATTCTGGGGAGGTGTTGTCTGCTCACCACTCGCCGGCCAGCGCCGGCGCGATTTGTTGGCGGGGTCATTGCGATGCGGCCGGCCCAAGACGGTCTCTGTTTGTCCCTCTTCGTGTCTGCATGGCCACTGAAGTCTGGATGCCAGTTGTCTTGCGTCTTGTCTTGCAGATGGCTGGGCCATTGCATTGGGGGCATAGGGGGTAAGGGCGGCAGTCTCTGGTCAGTGGTTGCACGTCCAGACGCGCCCCCATTCCTCGTGGGATCATGTTTGCATTGCAGCGCGCAACGCCTGGAGGCTATATCCGTAGGCAGGCTGGTCCTGGTCCTGGGGGCGGCGGCAGCGGCTGTCGACTGTTCAAAAGAGTTCAGACGATGGGCCGTGTTGGTCTCATCTATTCTCATAAGGTTGGTCTCATCTATTTTTCCCCAACTTGTTCTTCGGGTCGGCCGTATCAAGCAATGATGGGCGCCGGGTTCTGGACTTGGGACGAAGCCCTGCGGTTTCGCGTTCGTGATGCACTGGGGTGATGCCAGCTGATTCGGGCTGACTCAAGTGAGGCATCCTCGGATTTGGCAGAGTGCCCCTGACACTATTCCCAACACGGCCGCCTGAGGAAAATCTGCGGCATGGGCTGCCCGGTCGAATGTCGGAAGGACCGGACGGTGGGTCTCGATGCTCCATCACGTGAGCGGACATTATCTAAGCCGTCCGTCTTCCTGCTGACATAACCACAGAATCCTCTGGCGGACCCTTTGCTCCGTCAAGTCGCTGCGTCAGCCAAATTCTCGTCAAGGTCTCAACAGTGAATCATCAGCTCGAGGCAAAGAGCAACGCTTCAATTCATACTTCGTCTCTTTCTCCCTACAGATGCGATCTATGGGCTACCCGCACATTGCCCGTCACCAGAGTTTTCGTCGTCAAGTAGTCCTCAATGCCGTATTTGCTCCCTTCTCGCCCAATCCCAGAGTGTTTAATACCCCCGAACCTAATCCCGAGTCAGCCAAAAGTCAAAATAGAATCGGCATCGGGGACGCCTACGGAGCGGCTGCATCGGAAATGACCCCGGTGTTTAAGGCCACCATTCCAAACTGCAGCAATTCCGACACCCGCGTCGCACGGTTGAGGTCGTTGGTGAAGATGTAAGATGCGAGGCCCACGTCACACCGGTTGGCAGCATCAACCACCTCTTCCTCCGTCTCAAATGACAAGATGGGAGCCACCGGGCCGAATATTTCCTCCTCCAAAATCCTCATGTTCGGTTTAAGATTCGTTATGACGGTGGGCTCGAAGAAATTTGGTCCTGGTGAGCGAAGTGAGTATCCATTCTTGGTATTGGGATCGCTGTCCGGAAACCTACCAAGATCCGGCCGTGCTTTCCCTCCGATTTCGACACAGCCGCCTCCCTGAACAGCGTCGTGAACGAGACCCGCAACCCTCTGAGCAGCTTCGGCGCTGATGAGAGGTCCATGAGTGACTTCCCCGTCGAAGCCGTAGCCAACTTTGAACTTGCTCATTTCCTCCTTCAACTTGGAAACAAACGCCTTGTGTATACCTACTTGCACAAATACTCGATTCGCGCAGACGCATGTTTGTCCCGATGACTTAAACTTGCTTGCAATTACACCAGCTACTGCGAGATCCAGGTCCGCATCTTCAAACACCAGAAAAGGCGCATTGCCACCTAGCTCCAGGCTCATCTTCTTCAACGTCTGACTGGACTGTTGCATGAGAAGCTTACCGACACGTGTTGATCCCGTGAAGGAGATTTTACGGACGATCTCAGATTGGCACAATGTCGCCCCGATCTCCGGAGTGTTTTCGAGGGCCGAGATGATGTTGACTACGCCCTTTGGCACACCCGCCCGTTGACCAAGCTGCATGACAGCATTGGCAGTGAATGGTGTCTCGCCAGCAGTCTTCACCACTACAGTACAGCCGGCAGCCAATGCTGGCGCTAGCTTCCTTGTGACCATCGCCGCAGGAAAGTTCCAGCTATTCCATCAGTCGATCAGCACAATCCCTTCAACATATCGTGCAAACGGAAGACCATACGTACGGAGTGATGAGGCCACAAACACCGACCGGCTCTTTCGTCACAGACACTCTCATGTTTGGGTTACTGTGGGGTATCACGTCTCCATAGATTCGTGCTGCTTCTTCGGCAAACCATTCCAGAAAGCTTGCAGCAAAGACCACCTCGCCAGCCGCATCTGCCTTTGCTTTGCCGTTTTCCCAAGTAATCAAGGTGGCTAAGTCGGCCTTGTTCTCCATGATCAGGTCATACCATCGACGAAGTATGCGCGCTCGATCTCGACCGGATCGAGATCTCCAAGCCGGCAGCGCCGCAGCTGCCGAGAGAATGGCGCGCTCCGCATCTTCAGACACAGACTCAGGGCACGAGCCGATCAGCTCGCCCGTAGCGGGATCTGATCCATGGTCAGCTGCCGAAGAACACTGCGAATGGGGGGCAAGGCAGGACTCTCTGGTAGCCCGTAGGAGCAGCGGGGGAAAACGCATATATGAACTCACCTGTGACATTGAACGTTTTGTCAGAGACGGAATTCACCCAATGGCCATTGATGAAGTTTCTTCCAATGAGCAACGACTCGTCTTGGAGCTGGGGTTTGAAAGGCATAGTGTTCTGTCAACTCTGCGTGAGAATCAAACGTTACTTTCCTCCGTCAAAGCGAAGGGCTTGCGCAAAGCGGTCATCGCAGGCCGGGTCTTATGAACGGATCCCATCCGGAGCGATACTACGAACGCGCCTGAACACTTGTGATGGCACCGAGATCGGCTGATTCGCTTATCGCCGGTACCGTCCATGTCGGGGACAAACCGGAGGACATCTCATGCTGCAGGCCCCACCCCGCCGGGAGCGCCGTGCAGATGCGCCGCCCCACTTCCCCGGCGCCACAAGTGACATCCCAGAACCGGCGTCAGCCAGTGAGATTTCAATCATTGGCTCGGCCAAATGCGGGGATGGCTGGTGTGAAGTCTTGAGCGGGACGGTGAAAGAGATGAATGGTCTCACACGCTGAAGTGGGGTAAGAAGATAAGGTTGCCCGGTGGAAAGCCGAGCGACAAGGAGCCAAGAACGAAGCTGTGAGCCAACATCTCAACAGCATTACACGACTGATAATAGCAGGAAAAGTACAAAAGTCGGGGCCGAACACCTTCTGAAATCGAACCTAAGGTTGTAAACCTGAGCGTCTTCATTACTCACTGGAAACTTGTGGTGATAATACATCCTGCGGTCCTTCATCCAAATCATCATGGCTCCGTCTATTCGCACGCTCGATCTCAACAACACATCGTCGGCATACTTTGCGCCAGCGACTGTGACTTCATCATCGAAACTTATTCACGTGGCCGGCCAGTCCGGCTCGACCGTAGACGGGCAAGTCCCCGACGACTACGAGTCCCAGATCCACCTCGCTCTCCTCAACTTGCGCAAGATCATTCTCATTGCTGGTGCATCTATCAAAGACATTGCTAAGCTCACACTGTACATCGTCGACTATGATAGCACCAAACGCAAACACGTTCGCCACATCCAACGTTTCCTCGCCGGCCATCGGCCAGCAATGACTCTCGTGCCGGTGCCTAAGCTGGCAATGCCGACATGGAAGTTCGAGATTGACGCCGTAATCGCAGTTCCCGAGCCCTCGGTGCCTTTGGACAGAGCGACTTTGCGGGAATCATCGGAGTCAGTCGACGTCGTTATCATCGGTGCCGGGCTCGCTGGTTTAAGCGCTGCGCGCGACATCACACGCGCCGGCCTCTCTTGCATCGTCCTTGAAGCAAGAGACCGCGTTGGCGGAAAGACTTGGAGTCAGCCTCTAAAGCAAAGCCAGCCCGGAGTAGTTGACCTTGGTGCTGCATGGATCAACGACACCAACCAACACAGGATGTATGCGTTGGCAAAGCAATATGGGGCCGAGTTGATTGAGCAGAACACGAACGGCAACGTGGTCATTCAGGACTTTGACGGAGTTTGCTCGCCGTTCCCGTATGGGGAGCTTCCCAAGGTAAGACCTCTGCTCGTTTGAATGCCAATCATATCTTCGTGGCACGATACTAATCGCCAGCAGTTTGATGAGATTACTCGTCAACACCTCAGCGCCGTTCGTGACATGGTCGAAGCCGACTGTCAAGCCGTAGACACTTGGAAGCCAACGAACACGAGCTTGGATAGTCTCACCGTTGACGCATACTTGCGCTCTCGGGGCGCCAGCGAGACTGCAATTGCAACGGCCAATGTATGGACCCGCGCGATGCTTGGTCAGGAGGCGACCGATATATCGGCTCTTTTCTTCCTCAACTACTGCAAATCTGGTGGTGGA